GCTCCGTGGCGCAGTGGCTTAGCAATGAGTTGCTGCGCTGGGGGGCGCGGGTTCGTATCCCGCACGGAACAAGTATTTGTATGGCCTACAAATAATTGTTCCGGGTCTGGATGTTTGTTCTTGTGAAATTTGTGTTTGTAAACTGCCTCCACGATACAGGAGAAAATCCTAGTGTGGGGGTAACGTTTCTTTTAAGAAAATAATTAAAAAAAATAGTTCATTAGTTCTGTAGTATGTTGTTGTCTAATAGATGTTATCTAAAGTGGCAGGGCAGAATAGATCGTTGTGGGGCTTGGAACATTTGCTACGTTAATTTCATTAAAAAAATGTAAAAGTATCGATATCAGTAAGTATCGATACATTAGGAGTATTTGTATGAGTAGTATCGAAAAATGATTTGAGTACTACTGATATGTGTAGGTATCGATAATTTTATGGTATCGCAATATCCGTAGAGCACTTTACAGCACCTAAGGTCATGGGGTGGGGGGTGGGGGGACTGAGGTGTATGACGTCGCAACGGCATAGTTAACAACGTAGTTAACTACCTCCAGATTAAAAATTATTAATTTTTCTTCCGATCTACGCAGTATGAACTTACAATATCTTGAAGCCTTGCAGTTGTATGCTTTGGTTGGAATTTAATTTTATTAATTATGGGATCCCAAGCAGATGGTAGCAGCCAGCTATCTTCTCTATTGAAATTAGGATGTTTTTTTGATTTCAATAGCCTCGTGAATGATCCTTGGAAGGAATCGGTGTTCTTTAGCGAGGATTTGTAATCTATCAAATCTAATGTAGTGATGGCGACGATCCTGTATGTGTGAACAGACTGCAGACTTCCCGTAACGTCGATTATTTACATCAGCTATGTGTTCTTTAACGCGGGTTTTTATGGATCTTTTAGTTTGTCCTATATAAGAGAGAACACATTCACAATCAAGCTTGTACACTCCTGCATCTTGCAGAGGGACATTACACTTGACTGATGGTAAAAACTGGCTAATCTTCTTCTTCGGCTTGAAGTATGTTTTAAAGGAAGCACGCTTTAAGATGTAGCCAATCATGTCAGTGACACCTCTGACATATGGCAGTACAGCAGGCACTCGCTCGACTGTGGCCGGCTTCACTCGTTCACTGATACGTAGGCGCGGGACTCGAAGCTTATTGTCGTGCAAAACTTGCTTGACGTGTTGGAGCTCGGCGGCCAGGTGTTTACTGTCACAGATCCCTCGTGCTCTCTGAAACAAAGATTTACCCACGGTAGCTAACTGTGAAGGATGGGGATGAGAATCACCGTTTAAATATCTATCTGTATAATTCTTTTTTCTATACACAGTGTAGCTCAAGGTGTTATCAGAATTCCGAATTACTAACACATATAGAAAAGCTAAAGAATTTTTTGCCTCTAACTCCATTGTGAACTGAATTTTAGAATTTATGGAGTTAAGATGGACTAAATATGCAGTTACTTTATCTAAAGGTAGAATTCTGAAAATGTCGTCTACGTACCGCTTATAGAATCTTGGGTTTACGGGAGAAGTAACCAGGGCTTTCCCCTCAAATATCTTCCATGAATATATCGGCGACAATGGAAGATACAGGTGAGGCCATCACCTTGCCATCTACTTGCTTGTAGAACTCTTCCTTCTACAATAGGTAGCTAGATGTAAGGCAGTGTCTGAGTAATACTGCATATTCTACGGGCATGTTGCTTTCCTCTAGCCTTCTAGTAACAATCGAGATGCAGTCTTTAACAGGTAAGCATGTGAACAGAGACTGCACATCAAAACTGACCATAGATTCATTGTCTGCCAGATGTAGGTCTTTAATCTCGCTGACAAATTGGTAGGAATCCTTTGTGTGCCCTTGTATGTCCCTTGAGCGGTGAGAGTATTTTCGCTAAGTGTTGAGCCAATCTGTAAGTAGGTGAATCGATTTGGCTCCCTATGGGACGTAGTAGAGCATTAGGCTTGTGCATTTTTGGTAACCCATACACCTTCGGTGCTTTGGCACACGTAGGTGTTATCGATTTTACGTCTAGATTTAATTTTTGGAGCGTTTCCTTATGAGGTCACTAGTTGTTTTAAGTGTGTTATTTGTTGGGTCGTTTTTAACCCTTTTATAAGTGCTTGCATCCGACAAAAGTTCTTGTTTTTTAGAATTATAATCCGACGTATCCATGACTATCGTGGCATTTCCCTTATATGCGCGGAGAATCGTGAGTTCTGGTTTATTGCGTAGGTTATTCAACGCTTTAAATTAATCTTTAGGTAGATTCGGTTTGGGCGCTGAACTTTGACGTAACATAAACGAAATATCTTGACGTATCGCTTCCAAATCTTTCTTTCGCAGATTATTACAACTGACTAAAAACAAACACACTATAACCAAAAGGCTCCATTCATTATGATAATTTTATTTTTTATGGTTCCTTAAAGTTGCTTTGACTTTTCATTAATAGTTTGTTATTTAAGAAATTTAAAGGTTCCAATGTCATAAACAAGTAGGTGCATTAAAAATTTCATCCCCTATTTCTCACCCTTAGAGATAAAGAATGTTTTCTCCAAAATTCACAGGACTACCCTAAAGTATAACCTAATTATTAAAAAAGAATAATTAAATTCGGGATTGATATTCTCCTTCTTTTTTTAAATCGACTAATATAAAACGATTATATACTAGTTTTATTTTATAGAATAGAGGTAACAAACGAGCACACAGTCCACCTTATGATAAGTGGATTCTGCAGCCCATAGACATCTATATCTATCCTTTTATTCTATTGAAAATCAAAATGCAGATGTCAACGCTTCTATATTATGATTGTAGCACGTATAGATCAGCTCCTTCTTAAGAAATCCATCAAAGCTTCATCTTAGTGGAATGTCTCGGTTTCAGTAGAATGGTCTCTGATTCTCTACACTCACCATATGAAACACAGCAGCAATGAGCTGCTATTTTACGCTGGTGTTTTGTAAGAGCGTGGTACATCCCCGATCGAGCCGATCCATATGTGCTACAACCATAATATAGCTGGAGCATGGCTCTTACATGTAAATTAGGTAAAGTTTTTGTTGTATAAAATTCTTTTGACCATTAAAAAAAATAAACATTAAAATATGGAGAATCGGCATTCCCTAGCATAATCTTACTTTGTTAGGTTTAAATATACAATTTTTATTTTTTACGGCACTATGCGTACGTTAGAAAATTGGTATGTAATATTTCTTAGCGCATTATCAATGTCCGAATGGCTTCAACATTCCAATTTAGATATGACAGATTTAGCTTCTTGTGGTATAAATAACATTTCCTTTCCATGCATCGTTACAGATGGTGGGTAGTAGGGACATTCTGCTAAACAGGTTAACAATCTTTACCAATATGATGAGAAAAGTGTACCTCACGGCTTAAAGAACTTTCTGAATCTGGTTATAGATTTTCTTGCTGTGAAAGTGGTAGACTGTAAAAACCGTATTTGATTTAGAATTGTAGACAGTGGGGTTTTATTGTTATCACTATTTGAGGCAAGAGACTGTGTAGACGAATTGCATTGATGTGTTATCAGAAAGATGCTGCTGCTCACCTCCTGTTTCAGTTTTTCTCTGTCACACCCAAGGGAGGAAAGGGGTTTGTACACCGCCACTTCATACTAGTTGATAGTATACTAAACGTTCTAAAAAGTTGTTTGAACTACATAATTTTTCACTTTTTGTATTGATTTACACAGAAACAACCATAATACAGATAAAACCTACATCATACACCAGTCTATCACAAAGCTGGAACCTAATTATGGCAAATTGTTAACTTTAAAAGTACCATTGTGAAAAGAGAATTAATGATTTATTAATATTATTATTATTATTACAGTACGATGTCGAACTTATATGAAATATCTCTTTTACTCGTAGCAATGCTCCACGGAACAGACAAAGATACATAATTACAAGTAGCATACATAGATATAAGAGTGTCAACGTTTTATGGCTCCGTTCAGTATTAGTATGATACTTTATGCAAAGGTATTTGATTATTTATCATTGTCTGTGTAATCTATGCCGGAAAGCTTAGTCGTCACTGGTCGTCACAGGTTGGGTTTTTTCGCCAACCAGGTTCAGAAGGGCTAGAACCCAGAGCCGTAAAGCCAGTTTTTAAAAAAATTCGTCACAGGTTTTGTCATAATTATTATAATTATAATAATATTACTATATTATATAATTATACTCTAAGTTTAGCCTTTAGTCGTTGGTCCATAGACAAAGGACGTTTGAGTCATTGTCAAATGTCAAGTGATATAGAGTTTTTGGCAGGAACTTGACCGGCGACGGTTTGCTGTTCCTGTATTATTGTTTAAATAATGGTTTGAAGTGGACTTTGATATATAAAAGTAGTGCGATTTTGTGTATTAAGTGTCTGCGCATGTGAAATATTAGTGGAAACTGTGAAACAAGTGCTCTGATGGTGACGTGATTCTCAAAATAAGGTGTCTGTCTGGTTAGGGGCCTTGAAATACCATCTCCAACCGTCAGCTGTCTGCTGGCTCAAGTTTCCGTCAATATCTCCCAAAGACTGCACAATGTGACGTATCAACATATTGTGAAGCAGTATACTATGAAGGATAATTATAATATATTGTAACTTCAGGCTAAGAAAGGCAAGATCCCAGAGCTGTAAAGCTAGTTATTAAAAAAAAACAATTGATATATTATTTGTTTTTGTTGATTGTCATTCAAAAAACAAATCAATCTTCAATGCATAGACTAATATATAATTATAATACTGTGGAGACTTCAACGGGTCAACCAGGGTCAACGCGCAGTGTTTCTACTTTCTATATAGTTTGGTTTGGTTGGTCAGTTATTATACTACTTGATGGGTTGTGATGGGTCCCAAATCTCTGCTAGGAGTAAACGTATTCTGTGGTCCAAATTTTTGAAACAATAACAATTAACAATAGTGATTGGATTAAAACTTCTAAATAGTTTCTGATAAAAATGTCGGAATATAATGAATTGTTTACCACGCGTGTGAGAAGAGAAACACGAAAGATTCACTCTGTGAGTGATGCATTGGTCAATGCGAAATTTGCTTTGTGTAAGGAAATAATTTTTATTTAATTACGAAAACTTATTTTAACAAACATTTTGTTACAAATTCCGATGATAGTTAACACTGTTAATTTTTTCACTTAGAGTAAACGTAATTTATTTGCTAATATTTTTATTTCAGCTTTGAGAGATGAAACCGTTTGGTGTGGAGGTTTATTTGCTTTTTACCATATCTTTGCATTTTTAGAGGATTTTAAAGAAAGGGTTCATAAGCCAATGTACAATAAATTATTTGTTAGTAGAGTTTTATACAGGTAAGTGGGTTTTGTCTTAAAATAGTATTTGTAAGGAATGCATAAAATCAATAATTGATTTTGTGGGAGTTTAGTGTGAAACTTCTTTGTAAGAGGGGGGGGGGGATTTATTAGAATTACCTTGTTAAATGTAATTCGTTTTTCACCATACTGTCAGATTAACCTACAGTCAGTGAACATGTCAACAAAAGAACAATGATTCCTACCAAAGATAATACGCGAGGCTATTGAAATAAAGAACAATCCTTGGACATATTTTATACGTGGTGGAGCCATGCTGCAGCTATATTAATAGTATAGTTGTAATACGAATGGGTCGGCCCGACTGGAGAAGGACTAAGCCCTCACAGAATACCAGCGTAAAATAGCAGCTTAACACTGCTGTGTTTTGTATGGTGAGTGTAGAGAACCAGAGACCCTTTTTACTGGAAAAGAGGCATTCCATCTCAGTCCTCACGGGTGACGATGCATCTGCACTTTGATTCGTATTTAGAATAGATGTAGATGTCTATGGGCCACAGCAACCACTTACCATCAGGTGGACTGTGCTCATTTGTCACCCTATCCTATAAAAGAAAAATCCTAATTTTATAGATGGCTGGGTACTAACATTTACTTAGGATCCTTTGATTAATAAAAATGAATCCAAACCCAAGCATACAAGTCAAAATAAGTATTAAGGAGTGTTTGAACACTACGTTGCTCAATGTGTCTATATCTACACTGCTCCTTTATCTAATCCTAAAACAAATTTTGTTATAAATTAGAAAAATTATTTGTGATTTTAGAAAAAAGGCATTTGAGGAAGACCTAACACATTACTTAGGAGAGGATTGGCGATCCGCTGAAAAATCACCTGCGTTACAAAATTATTTGGATCACCTGCAGTTTCTTGAAAACAATAAGTCAATTCTACTCATGGCATATGTGTATCATTTATATTTGGGTCTGCTTAGTGGTGGTCAGATACTTGCTAAGAAGAGAAGAATGTTCTTTAACAGTATGTATCTCTACATAGTATAAAACAAAGTAGCTTCCTGCTGTCTGTAGTCAGTTTGTATGTATAATACATGTATATTATAGTAGAGAAAAGGTGAGAATCTATATAAAAAAATTAATTGCTGTCAGTTAGTCTTGCTAAAACTCAAAAACGGCTTGACCGATTTTGATGAATTTTTTTGTGTGTGTGAATGAATCCCTAGATTGTATAGATTCACATTTGGACCCGGTAGGAGCAAACCCGGGGTGGATCACTACTTTTTAATAATTTTCTTTGAACTTCCATTAAGTCTTCATCTGCCTGCAAAAACCCATAAAATTCCAACACTGGATAAAGGGATAGGGAATAGGTGACTTGTTATAATTACCACACTTGATAGGCGGATCGACGGTTGCAGTACCCGACAGCTCACCCATTTGACACTATTTTTGGGCATCTTTACGTCTGGTATAAATGGAATGTATATCATAGCAAAATTTTAATTTTGACGACACCCATAAGATGAAATGTGATGTGATGTGACGAATGGATCTTTAAAGATGGCACTAATGATAGGTTCTACAAGTTATTGTCGTAAAAGGTGACAGAGGGAAACTTAATCAGGAGATGGGCAGCAGCATCTATAACACTAAAAATAAAATATAAGAAGATCAATATGTATAAATTTTCCCACCATATGTGAGAATTTCAGATAGTCTGACTATAGATGGAGTTAGTGGGTATACGGTATATATCACATTTATTTTATTTTATATAAAGTTATCGTTCTTCTCCGTTAGGAGTGTTTTGTTATGTTTAGCAACTAAATTGGATAACAAAAAAAACATGTTTTAAAATATTAAAAACAACAGTGGGAATGTTAACAGATTTATAAATAAACAAACAAACACAAATCTTAATATCTGTTGAAAATTTTACACAGTTTCTGTGAATACGAACGCAACCATCAACAGTACATATTGTATGTGATATGTTTCAAAATTTTACATGTTGGATGTTTTTCGGTGCAAATGTAGGGTGTGGCCTACAAATAATTGTTTCGGGTCTGGATATTTGCCTTTGTGAAATTTATGTTTATAAACTGCTCCCATGATACAGCAGAAAATCCTAGTGTGGAAGTTACGTTTTTTAAAATAAAAAGAAAAGAAAAACAAGTCAAGCAAAAGAATGTCATAAAATTTTAGATTTTTTTAAATATAGTATAATATATAGCTTTTGTGTAAAACTTTTTTAAACATGAATCTTGGAGCATGCAGGTTTAATTTTAATTTAAAGTGGCCACTCAATTAAAACGGCAACTTCATATGTTAACCTGTATTACTTATTCAAGACTAATAATATCTTGTGGCTTTCAGAAAACGCCTCCGATCAGCATGTGTATGTAGATAAAGTAACAGATTTTGGCAATGCAGATATTGGAAAACTGAAAAAAGATTTACATTACGCAATGAATGAGGTAGCAGAACTCATGACTGATTCTGAAAAATTATCTTTCATAGAGGAAAGCCACGAAGTGTTCCTGAGGAATAATTCAATAGTCAAATCTATTGGAGGACAAGATAAAGTCATATATAATATGTTGTACAAGACATTTGCAGTACTCTTGTTTGGCGTTGGAGCCATTTTCGCCTATAAAATGTACAAGTAACAATCTTCTTTTTATATCGTAATGCAATGTAGTAGATTGTAGATATAAAGAACTTCCCTGTATTATTTCTCGTATTCTATATGATTGCTAAAATTTTAAGCTTATCTTAAAATTAAATTTGATAATTATTAAAAAAAAGGGAAATGAATATTGACTTAAATGTTTTTAATAATAAAGACAAAATTAGACTATATACTAAATTATTTAATTGAATATTAATGTAATAAATTTATTTTAAAATGTATAAAACAGCTCTGCCAGCATAAGCTTAACCTTGAAAGAAAATAACCTGTACATAAAAAAAATTAGTTATGTTTAAAAGAAACAAACATTTGTCATTTTCAACTTGTTGTATATTTGTAGTTTTTATATATCTTTTTGGTACCTGCTTCAGACTGTAGTAGGTGAAGGTATTAATTTTATATGTAGCTATCTTATTAGATTTTTTATTGTTTTATAATGTAGTTTATATAGATAGATTGTGTTTTCAATCAAGGCTGATTTATTTTATTGAATATAATTTGTGATTTCGACATAAATATATCATTAGTTATCCTTAATTTCTATTGTTAGTTTTGTATCAAAATATAAAAATAAATCCATATAGGATCACTTCGTTGCCCCTGTCTATCCGCCTGTCCGCCTGTCTAGTTACTTTTTTCGGAAACTGATTAGAAGCATAAAGTTGAAAATAACAATTCAAGTTTCTAAGTCAACGCAATGAAATATACGCCTATACGGCTGTTTAGGTTAGGTTATTTTAATACTTTCTAACTCATCAAAACGTACCTTTATAGTACGGAGGAAAGTACTCTTTCCGTTGACCTAGAATCAAGCAGTTACATAATATAAATTTAAAATATCTTTTGTGGTTACAAACTTAGATTTTTAGTTGGAGCGTAGACCATGATGTAGACTGATGAATGGGAGAACATATTCTTCAACAGCTAAATTAAGTTTGTTGTTCAATCAGATCTTACCTATAATTCCCATTATGGATACATATTATTTAAGTTTAAACGAAACCCTCAGGGCGCAAGTCTTGCTCTTACTTGCCGTTTTTTTTCTATTATCTATTACATAATAAAAAAAGTAAAGTAATGTTACAGCCTATATACGTCCCACTGCTGGGCACAGGTTTCCTCTCATTTCTTTAGTTTAGGGGTTAGACAATATTAAGTTAATATTATTCCACCTGTATTCGATGCCATGTTGAAATCTAAATTGCCAATAATACTGCAGTATATTCTTTAGGATAATTTTTTTTTCATAAAAAGAACATTATTTATACCTACTCCTCTTCACTCATGGGATTTTCTCCTGTATTGTCGAGGTAGTTTATATAAATTGCACAAGAATAAACATCCTGACCCGAAACAATAATTTGTAGGCCATTCAAAAATTTGGTCCCTTCGGGATTCGAAGCTGCGTCATGTCGTCATATAAACGTAAAAAAATAGTAATTGGTCTTAAAAATTTTCCTTCATATCGTCGCTTAGCTAACAATACTGCGCAAGTAGATTTTTGGCGTTTATAAAATGTTATATAAATATAGTTTTCTTTTTTTTTATAGAAGAGGGGGCAAACGAGCATGCGGCTCACCTGATGGTAAGTGACTACCGCCGCCCATGAACAACTGCAACACCAGGGGAATTACAGATGCGTTGCCGGCCTTTTAGAAAGGTGTAAGCTCTTTTCTTGAAGGTTCCTAAGTCGTATCGGTCCGGAAAATTCGATGGTGGTAATTGATTCCACAAGGAAGTTGTGCGAGGGAGAAAACTTCTTCTAAATCGCACAGTGCTGGACCGCCAATCATCCAGATGGTATGGTTGGTAACGCAAGTTTTGTCGCGATGTGCGATGGTGAAATTGAGCGGCTGGAATTAGTCCGAACAATTCCTCAGAGCACTCCCCGTGATAGATGCGATAAAATACGCAAAGAGATGCCACATCTCTACGCAGTGCCAGTGTATCGAGCCGATCAGAAAGAACTCGGTCGTCGACGATTCGAACCGCTCTGCGCTGGATGCGGTCAAGTGGAAGGAGTTGGCACTGGGGTGCCCCGGCCCAGAGATGAGAACAGTATTCCATGTGGGGCCAAACTTGCGCTTTGTAAAGTTGCAAGCGATGTGCCGGCATGAAATACTGTCTCGCTCTGCTGAGCACGCCAAGCTTTTTAGAGGCCAATTTGGCCTTCCCTTCCAAGTGACCACGAAACTGCACACTATTCGATATGTCGACGCCAAGGATTCCGATACTAGCTGAGGCAGCATGGGGAGTGCCTTGAAACTGAGGAGATACGACAAAGGGGTTCTTTTTTTTTCTCTTTGGAATATCTTTCTATTTATCTACTAATAAGGTGGTGCGAATTTGAACTGTAAGTAACTTGTATCTTCTATTAGAAAGTTGTATCACCGCGCAATTCCATTAGCTTCACGTCGTCGCTTGTGTTGGTTTCCGCCATGCAACTATTGCTGACTATTTGTGGTTTCGCAAGAAATTAAGAACTTCAGGGGATTTCATCTTTAAAATAGATTTAAAAATAGTTTGGAAAATCCAAAAGTGCACGCCCCATGAGCGTTTCATTTAATTTTGATGAAAAAAATAAATAAATTGTATTATTGACTTTTAAAATATATTATTTACGTGCTTTTATTAGTGTTGCCGTAACATTACAACATGGAACTGTTACATATTATTATGTTTGAGATAATATACATATTATTTTAGGAAGTTCTTTGCAAGAGACTTATTTTCAACTATATCACTTTTATTTTTTTTATTGATACATAGTATAGTTCTTACTAATAATAACTTAATATAAAAATATTTTGTGTTTGTGTGTTGTGTTGGTAGTCTTACAAAGTGTATACGAAAATAGTATGAATATAGTAAATGGCAACACTTGAATAGAGTAAAAGGATTTAAGTCATTTGATAGTCCCATAAATGTATTTTTTTCTGTGGCTTGAATTAAAATACATTTTTATTTGTTAAATCATTAAAAATAATAATACTCATTTTATATATAACATATTTCTAGACGCAATAATTTTTGTCAACTATTTTTCTGCCATTGCCCTTTATCGCTCTATTATTTTAATAGGCAGTATCACATACAACGAAAAAAATTAATAATGTTTACCAAAATAAATCGATTACACAAAGTATAAAATCGATATACGTTGTATGGTATTTGTCCTTTGTCTATCAAGGGCTAAAAAATATGAAAGCGCCTTATATTTTAATAGCAATAAAACATAAAAGTTGAAAATTATTTTATTAATAAACTACGCGTACTAGGCTATTGATATAAAATAGGAAACCAGTTGATGTAATTCTGAAGTTAAAAAAAAAACCCGGTCTGGATACGGATTCAATTTTTTCGGGAATTATCTTGACCACATACAAAATCAACATTCAGACGTCCACGTAAAAATTTTTTGTCGTGAAGCGACAATAATATATCAAAAAGAATCTAACCTAAGAACAACAAAAATACAACAAAAACAGAAATATATTCAAAATTCAAAGATATTTACAATTTTATAAAAAAAATGAAATGAGGATGATGATGAATGAAGTGAGAGTACAATTAGATTACAAAAAAAAATATAAAGGTAGGAGAATAGGGGTATAAAGAGATGTAGTGGGGCCTAAAAGTCGAAGCGACACACGTTGCGATTGTAGAGGTAGGTTTCTTAGCAGCGACGACACGCAGCGCCTGAAGCCAGCACACGCCGGTTGCGCTTGTAGAGGTAAGTTTCTTAGTAGCGACGGCACGCAATGCCTGGAGCCAGCACACGCAGCGTCCGGAGCCGGCGCACGTAGCGCCTGGAGTAGGTGCGCTCAGCGCTTAGAGCCAGCAGTTGCAGCGCCCAAAGGTAGCGCCGGCGGTAGATGCACTCGGCGCCTGGAGTAAGTAGTCGTAGCGCCCGGAGTAGTGTGGCCCCCGCGCTTGTAGTAGTCTCGAAGCGACTTCCGAGGTAGATGGAGGCTTGTAGGAATCCGGAGTGGTGCGGCTCCGCGTTTGAAGAAGGCTTCGCCGAAGACTTCACGTGTAGGTGGAGGCTTGCAGGATCCCGGGGCAGTGCGGCCCCGGGATAAGGCCTTTAGGAGATACTTCCAATTCGCGAACTGAAGCGAGACTGCCTTTCTTCACCGATTGTTCGGCTTTTATACCTTTCTAGAGAGAACGGAAAAATTATTTAAATTATACGCAAATTTTTTGTAAATGGTCAAGAGAAAAGAGGATTTATGTGGAATTATCGAAATAGGAACAACAGATCGGTAGCAAATTTGAATATAATTACCATGGAAACGATATAAATAACAAAGACAAAACATGTCAAATTTTGGTTTTAGGTTTATAATAAGAAAACGGTAAGATTTAAGTGGAAAATGAGATATTATTGATATAGGAAAAAAGGTAGCGCAGCTGCCCACACAAAGCCCGAGTTTGTAGAATTACGGAAAACTAGCTAAAAGATCGAAAAAAGGTAGACTCCATTGACACCAATTTAAAAGTGCTGATAATGTGAAAATACGAAGTAGAAATGATTTGTTATTGTGTTCTTATGGTTTAAAATCGTTACAGGATCCTATGGAAATAAAGGTGATGTAAAATATCCAGTTTTGAGGTGAATGTAGAAAATCGAAACAGAATGGAAAAATGAATTTAAAATAATGTAAAATGATATATGTAAGTAGCATAACACTACATTTTTCAAAGTAGCAATATAAAATGATTTTTTAGAAAATATAAGATGGATTAATTACAGTGTTTTTCTTGATATACGGCTACTTATATTATCGTATAAGTGCAATATGTTTATTATAGAGATATTTTAAGAACACAAAATTGCTTGACCTTGACGTGTCGAGAGTAAAGCACTACCTAATAACTCTTCGCGTTATGAGGCGTGTAAAAGTGTTTTTGGCTGGAATAAAAGTATGCAATCAATATCCGATTGAAGTTTATTAAATAAAAAAAAATATTATT